GAAAAGCAAGGAAAGTAAATTAGACATGCAATTCTCACTTAGCACGTTGGATCACATAGGAGAGACAAAAAAGGATAAAAGAAATTATACCTCCCCCCTTTTGTGGTGCTAATAAAGTGGACAAGACTTAACTTGGGCTATAGTCACCACAGAAAAGGATAACTTGGGCTAAAACCATCCAAAGCAAAGGGTTAATGCACCACTTTAAAGATAGGTAGAATAAGAGGCAAAAAAGGAAACTCAAATCACTTTAGAAACTTCAAAAGGCACTAACAAACCAACAAACCTTCCCTAATTTCGACTTAAATGAAATCAAATAATACATGAAGACCAAGGAAACGGAACGACCCATCCAACTCCCAAATACATAGCATCTACTAAGGACCCAAAAGAAATCCTTAACCAATCATTCAAGTCTAATTGAAACAAATTAGGAACGCCAAAGACCCAAGAGCCAAGAAATATTCAAGTAATCGCAAATAAACACATAGACGTTGAAGCATTTAAAAAACTTAAACAACCTATGTTTGCCAAAATTGGGGCCTAATTGGAAAGGAAAACAAGAAATATGAAGGGTCAAGGCATCTCAAATGAATAGTAAATAAAACATAAATGTAAATCATGACACTAATAGAACTCAACTAGTCTCAAATGTCAAAAATTGCTTAAAGGAAATGCCATTAGAATCAAATAAATCATTATTTACATTAATCAAGCCCTTAAAATCCCAAGGATAAATGCCCAGAGTTCATATTGCAATCCACAAAATAGTGATTAGTGCCCAACTAAAAAATCAAGTTGTGGAACTCAAATGCAAATGAGGTAGGACTTAATTGCAAGAAATTACAATATAATTGGGCCTTTGTAGAACGAAGATAAACATGTGAGGTTGAAATGCAAATTTTGGAAGATCTTCATGCATGCATATGTAAAAGTTTAAGCTTCTGCAATTTTATTTAGACAAGGCTTCTGCAATCAGCACTTCACCAAAATCAGCTTTCAAACACAATTAAATCCAAGCAAACAATCACACAATCCTCCCACTTTGCATCATGAAACTCATAGATGCAAATCTGAACAACTCAAGCAACTTCATGCCAAGCGTTCAAAACATTTCTGCAACAAACATTTCTGCTGAAAGCTTTTCACAACGAATGCAATCTTCCTTTCATTCAAACATCCCTTAACAAAGTTAACCGAACCAAAAACTGGAATCAAAGCAGCAAGATAACAAAGCTTTCTCCCCACTTTTTTCCTAGAACCTTGATGTTTATACTTCCAGAAAATTCAGCAAAACAAACGCACACAAGCTGTCCGTGTGCACTGCCGCAACAAGCAGAGAGCTTGCAAGTTTATTGCAGCAGATTTCATGCACAAAACTCAGCCAAACATAATTTAAACCCAGGCATCAAGATCATCAAACATTCCATACTTTGCAACATAGCACCTTTGGATTTAAGCGTAAAGAACATGCAAAGCTAGAAACTTTCTGTGACTTTAAAGTTCGTTATCCACATACAAATATTTCAAATTAGTCCCCCAACCAGCAAAACATGCATCTTATATCTATAACTACCCAAAAACAGCTTAAAAGAAAGCTATACAAACCCACAGAACAAAAGGGAAATCAACGAACTAAAAGTCAGAAATTCAACTTGCCGAAGAAGCGTGCTATTTTTCTGGTTTTGTTCTTATTCCTCACATGGACATAAAAAACAAACTCAAATAATAATCTATGACACCGGCTTACAGGAAAACCTAGACTTGCATCCCAAAACTCAGTTTGAAACAAAACGCCAACCAAAGTTGGAAACTTTAGGCAATTCTCTCTCGGCCAAGACACCAATATGCAAGATACCGACTCCTCACCCAAACTCCAGATTTTAGCAATACCCAAACAAGAACCATTAGCCATATTGAAGCCAGACCAGAACCAGTAATGACACAGAAATGCAAACAAATAACTAAAGGAAAAAGCTTTCAACTTTAAAGAAGAATTCGATACCTAAATCGAGGAATGGAGAAAGGGCTCGGATGATTCGGCCAAAACTTAATGGAAGAGCGATGATGATGACACAAATCCCTCTTCGTCCTCGCAGCTGAAAACCTTCTGGTTTACCTTTCCTTCAGCAGTCAACAACCCCCTTAACAATCTTCCTTTTCTTTTTCTGGTTTCCAGCCGAAGCCCTCCTCCCAGCTCTCTCTCTCGACTTTCCTTTCTTCACTCTATCTCTCCGATCCCAAACTCTCCAGCCGTCCCCTTTTGCTTTCTTTCCTCAACCTTCCAAACTCTCCCTGCTCTCTCTAGTTTTCTTAATCTCTGTCGCACTCCAGCTCTCGAGTTTTTCTAAGGTTTCTCTTATCTCTTATGCAGCCGCCACTTTGTTCCCCCCTCTCAGCTGTTGTTCTTTTCCTTTTTATATGAGACCCAAACCCTCACCTCAAAGGTGAGGATGAAGGGTTCTTCTCCACCTTAAACTCCAGCCATTCGATCCATTCCCCCCGCTTGCCATATTTTCTGCCAATGTCTCTTATGCCGCATGCATGCGCGGCTCTATTTCCCTTTTTTTTTTAATCACTTAATTTAAATTACAATAACAATAAAAATAAACTTAAACTTAAATAAAATGTACAAAATTAGCAACCAAAAAATAAAAAGCTAAGATTTCCCTCTTTTTCCTCTTTTTCTTCTTTTTCCCTTTTCTCTTTTTTTTTCAATAAAAAGAAATAAAACATATTTTTCCTAATTTTCTCTTTTTGGCCAATCTTATGCTGGAAAGTCTTATCACTAAAAATAAAAATAAAAATAAAATTATTTAAAATTTGGTGTCTACATAATTATATATAAAAAGGACAAATATTTTTAAAAAACTTTTGAACATATTGGTTAGATAACAACGGGGTAAAATGCCTAAACAATAATGTTAGGGAGTAAAGGATTTTATTACAATAATTTAAAGGGATAAAGTAATAACAACAATATAGTAATACTATAAAATAATTGGTATTTTTGACCAAAATTTGTTAACATCTGAGTTAAATTAACTATGGGGTGAAGCGACTAAAAGATAATATTATGGGGTAAATTGATAGTAGTGATATAGTTTAAAAGAGTAAAGTGATAATAACCCAAGTTTAAAATGAAAATACTCCAAAAGAAAAGCCTTACTTTCCAATCAATATTCATGGGATATACTACGTAATGTAATACTTTCATCTAATTATTAGAGAATATGAATACTTAATACACACCAAGACTTACATGACAGGTATAAAAAGAGAAAAAGATGGTAAAGTCTATTAACAATACTAACCGCTCAAATATATGATAAACAAGCAGAATTCAAAGGAAAAATGCATATTGTGTGTCAACAAAATTTTCAATATATTAAAGGATTGAGTTACAATGACATCATAATAGTAATCAATTTAAATTGAAATTTATTGGAAAGTGGCATGCAGATTTGCTCCATATTATGGGCAATAGTCGGCGGGAACCCGTTGGAGGAACCCACTTGAAGTGGCAGTCACAAGCAATTATATGGTGGGAGGTCAAGGGTTGACCTCTCACCCCCACTACGATAAGCCTCGGTGGTGATTAACTGCCCAAGAGGCGACTTGTGATTAATAAATCTAGTCTTGTGCTTCTTCCGATGTTTGTCCTGAAGGTTGTACAGAATGCTGAGGGAAAGAACAAATTTTCTGCCTTTGCCCTTGTCTTTGCAAGGCACCTGCTGTTGTTGTTGGACAAATTGCAAGATAAGATGAGAATTGTAGGTGGAAAATTGGCGTTATTTTTGCTGAGAGTGGCTGTTGAGGATTTCCACTGTTCATATGATTCTCTTATTGGATTTGCATAGAGCTGTCTCCCTCACTTTCTTCATTGACCATCGGAGGCATGTTAGATAATCCAATTCCAGCCTGTTTTTTGGATTGAATTTTCTTAGGCATGATTACTGATTGTGGGAATAATGACGTAGAAAGTTAGAACAAAAAGGAGGGGGAAGTAAGCTGTCATTCCTAGAAAGGACACAAGTGGTTTTGTTTGGATTACAATTTTTTGAAATTTTTATAAAAAAATGTACTGTAACGATTTAATATGCATATGATAAAAAGGTGATTGAAAATTATATTTATGAAAAACGTTAAATTTTTTTTTTATGAAAACTGGCTTTCCAAACAAGGCTACTAATTGTAGAGACAAGAGATTCAATGCAGTTGACGTGTGACAAGATGTGCTAATTTGGAGTTTAGTTATTGTTTGAGCTGCAACACGCAAAATATAATGGGGCTTCACCACCTTTTTCTCTGGAATGGACTCAAATACTAGTGTTTTTTTTTCAAATACAAAAATGAAGCAAATAGGGAATGTGGCTATATAGAGAAAAAGTAGGAAGGGTCAGAAGTCCTTTACCCTAATTGGTGAGTGAACATTTTCCTTAATGCTTGGTATTATCTACCAACTAGATAAGAGAACAACTTGAGTTGTCCATTGAATGCCAAGTGTCAAGCTCTTATTGGAGGAAGGAACTTTGTTTTATTCATTTGGATCTTAAAGAATGGTAAATGTCTATTTGGAACTTGGTCTTACGATTGAGAATTCCAATAGTAGCTTACTATTTAAGGGTCAATTGGTAATAATGGATTAAATATATTTATTTTTTAACTTTGTTTGTGTTTTAATAAGTGTTAAAAGTCAGTTGCGCCCTTTTGTGAAAGATGGTTGTTTGAATAGTTACTAACTATTTAGGGCTATTTTTGTATGTTTGAAAATATTTCCTTCTTATTTTTCTGTTTCGATGCAAATAGTTTGATACTGTTTGTAGATTGATCTAAACATATGGTTAGTTTTAGGCCTCTCACTAAAAGTTTCTTCTTCTTCGTTTCTTCTACTCGGATAGCCGAATATGAACCTTCAAAAGATGCCACTGTTCTACCAATTTTCTAAACAAAGCATTGTACTTTCTCTTGGTTAGAACCACAAAAACCCTCCACATGCACGTGATTGCATTTGCCCCAAGAATCAGTTTCTTTTAGGGATTGTACTTGGTTTGTCCTATAGCCATGGAAAGAGACATGGAAAGAGACACGGAGCTGGCCTATCTCCTACAGCCACCAATAGAAGTAGTCCTGGAGCGTCTGTCCCCATACCCGCTGCCTCTAAGACTCTTCGCCGTAAAAGAGTCCGTGGTGGTCTTACCACCACCCAGAGACCTCACAGGATTTAGACTTTTCATCAACTCCTTTTCGAGTCCAAAACCAGGAAGTCTAGACTTCGAAGTGGAAATACAACCCAGGTACTACAGAAACGGAGAATGCATCCTTGCGAGCTGCACTCCGAACCTGGCAGAAAGGAGACTCCCTCAGAGCCCTCTGTTGCCCCTTCACCCTAGTCTGGAAGAAATGAAGCTCTTAATGTGGAATGTGAGAGGTACAGGTAGCTCTGCATTTCGTGACCATCTCCTTCAACACATTAACACTCACAAACCTGGCATTGTCACGGTAGTGGAAACTAGATTAAGTGGAAGCAGGGCTGTAGAAGTTTGTGAAAGCCTCCCGTTCACCAACTTCCGGATCCAAGATGCAAATACCTTCAAGGGTGACTGTGGCTCCTGTGGAACGGGGTTGAGGTCAACGTCGAACCTATCTCCAACACTTTCCAAGCCATCCATGCAAACATTAAGGTATCTCCTAACACCTCCCCTTGGTTGCTTAGTTGCATCTATGCTAGTCCTAGACTTGAGGAACGCTTGCTTCTATGGAGCACCTTAAAAATCTGTCTTCCTTAAATAATTTGCCTTGGATGTGTATTGGTGACTTAATGAACTGCTTTCTCAACAAGATAAATTAGGAGGCAACCCTATTATCAGATCTAGAGCCTCAGCTTTTTGCTCTATGCTTGAAGCGTGTAATCTCTTAGATATGGGCTTTGTGGGCCCAAGATTCACTTGGTTTGTAAGAAAAATAATTCTTTCATCTATGAAAGATTAGATAGAGCCTTCTGCGACCCTTTGTGGAGAAACCTTTTCCTGAAGCTCGATTCAGCACCTAGCCCGCACTAGATCTGACCACTGCCCACTCATAGTCAACCTCTATCCTCAACCTCCAGACCTTTCCATTAAGCCTTTCCATTTGGAAAAATTTTGACTTTCTCACCCTTCTTTTCCAGATATCATCAGAAATAACTGGTCTTCCCCTTCAACCCCTGTTACTGAGTCTATTAAATGTTTCACTGAAGCCAGTAGGGTTTGGAGTAGAGCCTCTTTTGAAAATATCTTCCACAAAAAAAAAGAAAATCCTCAATAGACTAGTAGGGATCCAAAATCTCTCCAATATCACCCTTCCGTCTTCCTATCCACTTTGGAAAGCTCCCTCACAGCCCAGCTAGAAGACACTTTAAGGATGGAACAAGACTTTTGGCTTCTTAAGTCAAGAACTGACCACTCATCTGGGATGACCTGAATGTTAAATTTCTGCAGACCACAACCATTGTGCAGAGGAAAACAAATCGAATTCTTGCTATTAGAGACCTTGTTGGTAACTGGATCACTGAAGATCTTGCTATCAAACGTCACATCCACTCTTTTTTCACCAACTTTTTCAACTCTGACTTTGTAGAAGTCAGCCTCCACCCTGAACCTTTTCCTGCATCCCCTCTTACCCTCTCGCCTAGTGAAACCCAGCTTTTTAGCCGTATCCTTCCAGCCAAGAAATCAGGAAAGCCTGCTTAGATTTCAAGCCCTTTAAGGCTCCTGGACCAGATGGACTCCACGCTTACTTCTACCAAAAATTCTGGAACCTCATGGAAAACTCTATTGTTCAATTTATCCAAGATGCCTTCAACCATTTACCTTTTCTCAAGGTATTAATGATACTTTCATTTGCTTAATCCCCAAAACTGATTGCCCTGAACTCATTCAAATTTTAGGCCTATTAGTTTGTGCAACTCACTTTACAAAATCCTCTCTAAGTGATTGTAAACAAACTCAGACTTACCTAGCTAAGGTTATCTCCCCTTTCAAACCAGTTTCCTACCTCGAAAGAGCTGTTCAGATAATGTCAAATTAGTTCAAGAAGCAATTTTCAAGATCAAATTAAAAAAAGGCACAAAGAGCCGTTGTGCTATTAAAATTGATCTTGAAAAGGCTTTTGACAAACTAGAGTGGCACTTCATCAGGGAAACCCTGGTCTTCTTTGGCATTCCTGAAGCTCTCACTCAAGTTATCCTCCAATGCATTTCCTTTCCTAGGCTTGCTGTCCTTCATAATAGTAAGCCTATTGATTGGATCTCTCCTTCAAGGGGTATAAGGCAAGGAGATTCCATCTCCCCTTATTTATTTATTATGTGCATGGAATATCTCTCCTTATCTATAAACAAAGCTATCTCTGAAAAGAGATGGAAGCTTCTATCTTTTGGTCCCAATACTCCCCTGCTATCTCACTGCATTTTTGCGGATGACATTACTTTGTTTGCTGAAACTAACCCAGAATCCATACTTTCCATCCACAACATCCTGGAAGATTTTTCCCTTCGATCTGGCTTATCTATCAATCGTCAGAAATCAAAAATTCTCTTTTCTCCTAATACCCCCCTCGGATCTTAGACTTTCTACAGTCAATCAATTAGGATTTTCTGAATCTCATGAGTTTGGAAAATACCTTGGTTTCCCCATCTCTGGGGATAGGGTTAGTAGAAACCAGCAAAACTTCATTTTAGACAAGATAAAAAAAAAATTCGAAGGATGAAAGGCAAGCCTCCTCTCTTTTGCTGGAAGGAAAGCCATAATCCAGCAAACTACTACTACCATTCCTGTTTTCTACTCCCAATGCACCGCCTACCTGTCTCTCTCCGTAATGACATTGACAATGAGCAAAGAAACTTCCTTTGGGGCTCTACTTCCCAAAAAAGGAAGCTTCACCTGGTCTCCTGGGAAAAAATTACCAAACCTAAAGACCTAGGAGGATTGGGAGTCAAGCAAACTGCCTTAATTAATAAGGCTTCGATAGCAAAATTCTGTTGGCAGCTTCAAACAGAAACCAAGAAACCTTGGGCACAAATCATTTCCCGCAAATACCTACCCAAATTCCATCCACCCCATTCCTTGATTGGAATCCTGTTAGACGCAGAGGCTCGGTAAATTTTAAATGCATTCAACAAGGCCTCCCCTTGTTCAAAGCTGGTTGCTCTAAAGTTATCAAAAGTGGAGCAAATACACTTGTTTGGCATGATAAATGGCTCCCCCAAGGTACCCTCAGATCCTTGATCCAAGGGCATTTGACTTTGGAAGACCACTCCATGCTTGTGAAGGACCTATTCAATCCCCTTGATGACTGGAATCTGGAAGCCTTGTCTATGGTGCTTCCCCAGGATCTAAGCCAAAGGATTTCTGCCATCCCACGACAGAATTACAACCCTACTCCTGATACCATTAGATGGCGACATTCCCTTAATGGTAGCTTCTCCTTCAAATCTGCCTACTCCCTAGCTTTTCTCCAAAAATACCCAGACCCAATCGAGTCAAATCTCTCGTGGATCTGGTCTCTGCACGTCCCCACAAAAATTAAACAATTCCTTTGGTTGTTAGCTCAACAAAGGATTCCCACCAAGCAACACCTCTTCGACCGACATATCATCCTTGACACCTCTTGTTCTTTCTGTAACCATTTCTCAGAAGATGCTGAACATGTGGTGAGAGAATGTCCCCAAGCCTTAGAATTCTGGGAAAAAATCCAATCCCCCCTCCTTCACCACCCTTGGCAACCTTTCAACATTTGGCTCCTTCAGAACTGCAAAAACTCCTCCCTCTCCCCCCTACGGTTCCATTTCTTGGAACGTTATTCTTGCTTTCTCATGTTGGGTTCTCTGGAACAATAGAAACAAACTTTTGTTCGAACCCATTAGAGCATGGAAATTTCCTCACATTCAGGCTCTAAATCTTGCTGCTGAATTTGTTGCAATTGGTCCAAACCGGTCTCCTTTTCCCCTACCCAAAAGCCAGGTCCTCATTGGATGGACTCCACCACCCAGAGGATGGCTTAAATTGAATTCTGATGGATTCTGCTCACCCAACCCTGGTCTCGGGGGATGCGGGACCCTGATACGAGACCATCTTGGTACTTGGATTAAAGGGTCGATTCGAAAGCTCGGCCACACCAACAATCTGATTGCAGAATATTGGGCTATATGGACTCGAAATCGCAAGATCATTGAATACACAATGTTTGATTGTTGAATGCGACTGTGAAGTTGTCCTTAACATGCTAAACACTTCAATTCCAGAAGGTCATGACCTTGCTCCTATCTTAAATGATTGCAGGCACGTTCTCTCTAATTTCCAGCAAGTGCAAGTAAAGCACATCTACAGAGAGGCGAATAAAGGAGCAGATGCACTAGCAAAGTTGGGTGAAAAACTTTTGTGTCCCTTTTCACTACTAGATTCTTGTCCTCTCAGTTTAGGATCTATTTTGTCTGATGATTTGAGGGGAATTTGTTTCCCCAGATACATTGCTAAGTTGTAACCTTTCCTTTTTATTTTATGCAAGTCTTTCCTACCAAAAAAAAACTTGGTTTGAATTTACCAGCGAATTCTTCCTTTTTTCCTGCTACGAAGTGATGTTTTCTTTTAGAAAACAATTTTTAATGATCTATGGTATGGTTTCTAAAACCTACCATGTATACAAAAGGGAGAAGGGAAAGGAGAAACCCTTTAGATATTGGTTCTTTCTTTCGTCATATTGAGCAAAGGATGAAAAACTTAGGCCTCCCCTATGATCTTGCCTTTTTTACTGTTAACTGTGATTTTTGCTTCAGATATCTTTCATATCTACTTGATTCAGAGAAAAACAGCTTGGCTTCAAGCAACTGGGAAACTTGCCTTTGGATACGCTAAATACAGGAATAGTGAATGTAAACATTGATTGGATTATCTGTTGTCCTTCTTGCAAGCAACAAAGTGAAGTTGATATGAGGTAAAGTTACCAATTCATGCGCTTTAATTACAATTTAATCCTCTTTCTGCATTTAAATTGATGTTAATTTTTGTTGTTGAATTTGAGGGCTCGAATTCCCATCATTTTAACTGATGATTCGAGAACAATCAATTGCACTATATCTAGAGAAGGTGCAGAAAAAATGATTCTATTCACTTCATTTCAGCATAAACTGGCACAAGAAAGTGTAAGTGATAACTTTCTATTTTATATCTATGCATAACAAAAAAGATAACAACAACTGACTACAACTCAAAAAATAATTTTTGCTGCAGCACTTTGAAGTAGACACTGAACTTAATGGTTCCTTGAAGAAATATATAATTGTCCACTTTCTCAAGGCTTATGAGACTCACTTTTAAGACCAGGGACAAATTAAAACTATTGTCCAAAGCTTACACTGCAGATGATCTGTTACTGTAACGTTTCCAGATCGCACCGAAGTTTCTTCTGCAGTGGGCACTTCCTCACCAAGATATCAAAAAAAAAACAACAACAAACAAAGGAAGAAAAGTTCACACCAACCACTAAGTTGGTGCTTGAAGAAATTGCTGGAGGCAATTTTTCCATGAAAAATGATGCATATGGGAGCAGTGGAGTAAATAGGAGCCTTGATTTTCCAAAAGGGCTACCTGAAAATGAAGCTACACCAGTAGAAACACTATCCAAAGTGCGATCCAATATTTCTGAGCAGTGTACCAAAAAAGGTCCAGAAGATAGCAATCCGCCTAAGAATATTGAAGATAAGTCTAGCAAAGAAGCTTAAGGGCAAGTAGGCCTAAACTGCTTTAATTATGTTACTTTTATTAAATCTTTTGTTAGCTGCTAAATGATTAGGTCCATTGCTTTGATACTTTCTTTGAAACTGCTTCAGTCATTGACAAATAAGGGATCATGAGATAGCTATTAATAGTTTAGTTTGTTATCTTGCACCTGCATAGATCATGAAACTTAATTGCAAGTGCTAATATGTATGAAGATCAAGTCTTAAAGCACATGTGCTGTCAAAAGTGAATGATTTTGTTTATATAATATTTGCCACTGTTTTAAATGTTATTTACCTCTCTATCTTTTAAACACAATTAGCATATCAACATCCACAAAATTATCTGGATTTTGCATAGGACAAAAATGGAGGACTAAATAAACAGCGAAAATTATCAGTGGATAGGCCAGTGCGTAGCATGGCCGGATCCAAGCTAGTTCATCTGAAAAGTGAACAACACTCAACTCGCATACATAAGAACAGTACGTGTTATATGCTGAGCTCGCCACTTGGTGCTGACCTGTTATATGCTGAGCTCGCCTTGTGCACACTCGGTGCTGAGCTGTTATGTGCTGAGATCACCACTTGGCAAGACACTTGTCCTTATCTCTTCAAAGTGTACGTGTATTTTGCGTACAAGTACAAGAAGAAGAAATATACCTCTTTCTTGATGTAGAAAAAAGAAAAATAATCACTTTTTGCTTTACATTTTCATGCCTTTTGCTAGTATCATTTTAATCAAATTAATTCTTTGAAGGTAAGTTTTTATTTGTCCATGATCTTTTATTTTAGTGCCCTGTGTTTCTTTTTGGATATTAATGTTTTTCAGTAAAAGTTAAAGTTTGTCTCTTTTTCTCTCATGTCCTCTAAGCTTTTAATGCCATAGAAAATTTTTGATCATATACCAATTTAGTCTTCTCAAGTCAAATCAAATATCATCACAATTTTGACTTGAGATGAGTAGTCTTCTTATTTTTGCAAAAATGGCTATCGCTTCCCTTCCCTAAAAGGATGGTCTCTGTGGGTGGTTGTGCAATTAAATCTAATTTAATTGCATAAGAATATCCAAATCAACAAATCAAAACATAATTAAAAAAGTATACAAAATTAAATTTTGTCCGCTAAAATTGTATCAAAATCAAAAGTTTGCAATTCAGTAGAATAAAATAAAAGGGTGACATCTGTCTGTCGCACAGGGTTTGCTTCTTACCCTTCTGTGTGGCTGGCGAGCTATTGCAAAAGGCGGATTTTACTCAGTGCGCGCTCTCGAATAGTGATTGCGAGTTCACTTGTCAAAAAAAAATAAAATGGATGACATGGAAAAATAAATTGCTATTATTCATCAAAATAAGGGTATACATTCCATAGTATCTTAGAATCATCACACAAAGATCACACAATTCTAAGGCTTCTTGTAATTCAATGGGCTATGCAATAGCAATTAACATAGGGTGAATCACTAGAAGGCCTTTTGCAAACGCCTCCATCAGGGTATTTTTCTTTCTTACAAGTTGCAATACACCCTGGAATTGTTGTGCATCGACCCTGGTACATCAGCCATGTCTCATTTGTTACATCGGCCATGACAATTGCTACAAAGCACAAGGAAAAAGAGAAAAGAAATTATCAGTTTGTCAAAAAAAAAAAAATCACTTGTGGTAATAGTTGTCATTAAATCTTTTGGAAAATGTCTAATTTTAACTTTTATATTGAGTTTGTCCTTTAATTTTGAATTGATGAAAAACAAAAGAAAAGCAGATTAGTAATTCGTTTAAGGTACACTTTTACTTCATTACATTTTTTGTTTTGCACATAACCTTAATCAAAAGGAAAAAGGGTCTTTACCTGGACCAGAAAGCAAACCATAACAAAGCAATCCCATGAGAATGGATGCTCTAAAGATGATACCCATAGCCATTCTTGCAGTTGTTTGGTATGTGAATGCCAGGCAATAGAGCCGAAGAAGAGAAGAATTGTGCTTTTAAGTCCTATTTATGGCAGATACAGGATTTGAAAGATTCCAATGTCCATAATTACATTTATTGCTATGGTCCATTTCCTTATGGAATTTGTTTATAGACATAATAGATATTAAAGGCATTGATTAACTTTTCAAATTGGAATACCTTGTACTGATGTCTTAATTTATTTTAATTGTGTCATGTACAGATCTTATGATTTTCTTTTTATACTTAATTACCTTCCTAAACCTCTTTTCCAATTGTTAGAAACAGATTTAGGTTGATATATTTTTTGCTACTTTCCGTTGATAAGTCTTCTTTATTGTCCACTCCAAAAGGTCTACCTTTAAGCAATTGTTTTCTTACCAATTAGCACTTCAAAATTTTCATATATACCCAATTTAATTAAAGTTATTATTTATTATTATAAGGAAAATACTATTTGTTACTTTTCTTTCTTGAAAGGCTAAGAAGATGTCCTTTTTAATTAATGTTTAACTCGTGAATTTATTTAGGTCCATTTTTCTTTTTCTTTTTTTTTTTGTATGTGAGATTGAAAGTTTTAATTTCTTTTAGCTTCTTTAAAAGTATATTGAGCCATCCACCCTCCGGGCTTGCCCTGGTGGTTGAAGTTGCTAAAGATGGAGCTTTAGCTTTTTGGTTTGAATCTTGTCGCCAGCAAGTTGTAGAAGGTGAGGGAATAGTCTGCGGGGTTCACTCCCTGCGGGACGCCCCTAAAATATATATATATATATATATTATAATATATATATATATATTGAGTGATCCATCAATAGCATGAATTTTGTTTAGTTACTCTTGCACTGAGTAATTTCTTAAGATTGGAGACCAAATTAGTTTTAACCAAATCATAAAGAGCCAAATTAATTCATTTCGCTTCCCATCTCTATGGATTGGAGCCTCCCTTGAATAAAAATAAAGAAACGAAAAAATAATTCATTCTCAAGCAACAGCAACTTAAATTTATTTGACGAAACAATCTCCACCAAATATACAATGCAATTTGAAAAAAAAAATTATTTTACTTCTATATTATCTACTTTTCCCCTATAGAGGACATTCTTGAAAATCCAATGAAAAATATAGGAAAGTGAAGGAAAGTTAACTATTTTTTCCCTTTGTGGTTGTCTTGTTAGTAGGAAAGTCAGAAAATTTTCTGTCTTTTTCTCCATTAGATTTTGTAGGAAAATAGTTAGTTAGACACATTACTCAAAATAACTATCACTAATTTTCAAAACTTTCCATTTTCTCTTAATAAAGTGATTTATTAAGTATCACATTCTTACTTATTAGTTTTTTTTTCTTACTAATGTCATTTAGTTTAGCTAATTTTTCCCTAATTACAACATAAAATAGGGTTCCAAAACTAGGCCTATCAATTAGGCTGGGCTTGCCCGAGCCAACCCGCTTGGCCCTAAATTTACTAGGATAAGACTTATGTACTGTGCGTTGAGTTGGATTTGTGCCAAAATATTTTACCCAATTTGCACGTGAGTTGAGTTTGGACTGCACTAAGCTTAACCCATTTAAAACTCGACTTGACTGATACATGTGATGAGACTACAAAAGTACTAAAATGACTGTATTTTAGATGGCTAATTTTATAGTAAATTGGTTTTCCCCATCTCTAGTCAATAAGTTTTTGGATGTTATATAAGTTAAGTTATAATACTTCACCTCATGAAATTCAAACTTCTTTTTGGTGTTGCAATCTTTTTATTTGTATATTATAGAATGTTTATGGGTTTGTTAATAGTTTCGTTTAACTAGATTTCGTTAATGTGAAAAATATATCACTTGAGTTTGGGCCTATCCGAATTAAACTCATTACCCGACCTTTTTTGTGAGCGAGCATGAATTAGAAACTTGTGAACCTAATTGAGCTGAAATTAGACCAAAACAATAATGTTTGCCAGATAATAGCTATTATGTTCTAGTATCAGGATTGCCATTGTTAGTGTAATTATTAATGCGACAAGGGAGTTTAGTGTAATTTTCGAAACCTAAAGAGAGACCAGTGAAATAGTCAGAAACGTCACGGGAGGTTTCTAAAATTATCCCAAAAGAAAAACATAACTATTTTCTCATTGATACGTGACAATAATAGGTTACATTATTGTTATTTACCCAAAGAAATTTGCAGTTTGGTTTTGCCAATTGGTATTATGAAACTTCCCCTTTTAGCAGTCTTTAACCACGAGGAAAAAAGCAATTCCATTCTCTGATTTTAGTTGAGTAGCTAGCGGCAACGCAAGACTTGGAAACTTGAACTAAATTGTTATCGTCCAGTCTTGATGATCATAAATTACGAGAACAAAGAGAGGGGAAGGAAATTCATTTTGTCATATTTCCATTGGATCACCAAAATGGAAGTGAGCAGAAAACTTGCGATAAGGAAATGCATGTTTAGGCATCATAACTATTCCCTACCCAATTGAGTCACAGACTGCTATTAGGTCGTTTGATGAGTTCTTGTTTCGTATATTAGGTTTTTTTGGCATGCCATTTTTAATTTTTTTTCTTTTCCCTAACAATTGCTAAAATGGAGAAGTTAGAATCTTGTAGCAGTAAATTTTTTTGTGAAAATATAGAAAAATTACTTGTGGTAAGTGAAGATCATTTAACCATAATTTTGGATGTACCGGAACTACAAAATATTTGGTGCTGTCATGTTCGCTTGATTTGAAGAAGCATTGTAATTGGGTTTTCAACACACACACACACACACATAAATATGCCTTATAGGCACATGTTAAGATATATTTCATGTGTTATATTTTTAAAAATATAAGATTTATTAGGAAAAGTAAATAAATAGTAATTGTTAAGATTAAATAGGAAAAGTTTATAAATACACGGGATAATAATAATTGTTAGTATGTGTATACATATAATAGATTAAATAAATATTAGGTAGAAAAACCTATTTATATGTATATGTATGTACGCGTGCACGCACACACAGCACACATACACACACATATACATATATATATATATATGTATATTCCGACATTCCTCTGAGTTGACTTTAAGTCAAAAAATCGTAGTTGATTAAGGTTAATATAAAAAAAAAGGAAAAAACAAAATACTCCCTAAATTCTTGTTTTTAAACTTATTATTCAGCCATTCCTCCGAGTTGACTTTAAGTCAAAATACCCTAGTTGATTAAGGTTAACATGCAAAAAAAAAAAATGGAGAAAACAAAATAC